CCCTACTGTCGCCCAAGCGGCTCCTACACCGCCCCCCCCCCCCCCCCCCCCCCCGCCCCCCTTTCTCCTCCATCCCCCTGCTGCGCGTGGAGCAGTGGGGGGGAGGGTATGGGGGTGACGGGTGTGAGTAGTCAGCCGCCCACCACCTCCTCCTCTCTCTCCCTCCCGCACTTGTCGCTGTGTCGGGAGAAAGGGGGGAACTTGGAGGTTAAGGGGGTGGTAGGAAGGGATCTGCAGCACCAGCCCCCCCGCCCCCCCCTTCTCCTCCATCCCCCTGCTGCGGGTGCAGCAGTGGAGGGGAGGGGATCTGCAGCACCAGCCCCCCCGCCCCCCCCCCCCTGTTCCTCCATCCCCCTGCTGCAGGTGCAGCAGTGGGGGGGAGGGAATCTACAGCACCAGCCCCCCCGCCCCCCCCCCTTCTCCTCCATCTCCCTGCTGCGGGTGCAGCAGTGGGGGGGAGGTTATGGGGGTGGCGGGTGTGAGTGAACTGCTGCCGCCTCTCCTCCTCTCTCTCCTACTGCTGCACATGCCGCTTGGAGGGGAGGGTGTGGGGGAGGTGAGGGAGTGGCGGTAGGGATGCTGAGGGGTGTGAAAGGGAGGTTTGGGGAACTGGGGGAAGTTGAAGGGGGGTGGTCGCCGTGAAGCTAGTAGCTCCAGTCGCCCGTGAGACCGTTGCGCCAGTTGCCCGTGAGCCCGTTGCTCCTGTCGCCCGTGAGTAAATTGCTCCTGCCGCTCGCTTAGCCGCGGAGCCAGTTACTCCAGTTGCCCGTGTGCCTGTTGCTCCATTTGCCAGTGTGCCAGTTGCTCCAGTTGCCCGTGTGCCAGCAGCTTCAGCCGCCACCCACCACCTCCTCTCCTCTCATGGTCCCTCCTCCTCTTCACTTGCCATCTCCTTCCTCCGCTGCGCCTGGTGTACCCCTTCAGGGGGTGTTCTGCACATGGTTCTTCACTGCAAGCAGTTAGAGGGTGTGTCGGAATATAATTACATGCATTATATTATAACTGCCTGTAGTGCAGACTTAATGTAGTTCTAAACTTGTTTGGTGGTGCATCTCTCTTTTCCTTGCATATATGTTTCCAACTTTCTATAGTGAAACCCCTTCCTTCTCGATTTTCCTCGCTTCAACTCCCTCGACACTCAACCCGAGCATGGCTCCTATGCCTCCTAAGCCTAAACCTAGTTTCCTAGGTGCTTAGTGTTCTGACATAGGAGTGATGTTCCACCATATCCACGCGATCACGTTGCAAAACACAAATTGACTGCATCCCATGTCCCGTGCTCTCCATGCTCCATGCAGGATCCACTCCCATAAGTGGACGAGGCGCGCGAGGAGGTATGATGCTGTCTTCAAGAATGTGAAATCTGCCCATTACGGGGGCTCCAATGGAATGAGAGTTAGTGGCAAGACGTCGAAGTGGGGGAGCACCATTAGTGTAAGATTCAGATCCCACACCTTCCACGCCCACTTTATCAATTTTGCCTCTCTCTTCACCAATTTGCATGTTGAAGTTCGCTCTTAATGACGTTTGAAGTGTTGGTGGTGCCCTTGCAATCATAATCTCTAGGTGCTCATGCTGAGCCAAGATTGCTTCTTCAAACGCCTCGTATCCAGCGTCGACTTTATCGTCAAACCGCGCCATTTTCTTGATCCAATCGTTGCCTCCTGCTATGCCAATTTGTTAATGTGCATGTCCAATGTGAACTGTAACAGGGTTCTATCCTAATTTCGGCAGCATGCCCCCTAGAGTAGCTCTGATACCATGCTAGAAAAGCATAGTGCCAGCGTAGCGGAAGCCTTGACAATAGAACAATAGATTGATTATGAAAGCACAAAGAAGGGTATTTAACCATGCAGCTACCCTAACAAAGTCTAGCCATCCCCACCAATAATGGTCCACCAATAATGCAAGGAGTGACAATAATTCTACCCCCAAAGCTCTAGACTCCAATAATGCAGCCCCGACAATAATTGCACAATTATTGTAGGGCCTAGTGTCGAAATATGTTTACATATTTTATAACTGCTTGTAGTTGTAGTGCAGGCATAAGTGTAGGCATAATGATTTCTTGCTTGTGGTGCACCTCTCCTTGCATGTTTCTCAACTATTTGTACTTGCAATTCTATAGTGCAACCATCCTTCTGTCCTACTCACTCTCCTTCCTCTCGACATTAACCTAGTCCAGGGTTTCTCCAAAGCCCAGGTTCACCTATTACTTTAACATGTTATCAGAGTGTGGTCATTTTTAGGACCTATTCTACATGGGCCCACCAAATCCGCCTTGTGCCGTGGCGACCCACTCTGCTGCTGGCGCAAAATCCGCTGTTGTTTCAGGAGCTTATGCTAAACCCATCGAGCTCCCCCCCGTCGCCTTCGAGTCGCCTGCCTCGTCGCGGCGCTCAGGGCGACGGTCGTAGCAGACATTTTGGCGAGCGCCAGCGACCCGCCAGCGCGTTCGCGAATGCGCCAGCGATGGTCGCCAGCACCAGCGCCATCGCCAGCAACCGCTGCCCGTCGCCAGCCCCTTCGCCCGAGGCCCAGTTGCCCGCGGACTCGTCGCCCAAGGCGTCGTCGCCCGTGGATCCGTTCCCCGCGGCCACGTCGCCCAAGGACCCGTCGCCCGCGGCCTCGTCGCCCCATGCCTCGTCGCCCGAGGACCCGTCGACCGCCAGCAGCGCCTGCAGCCGTCGGCCCTTTTGCAGCCGCGCTTGCACCCTCCCCCTCGCCTCACCCTCGCCTCCCTCTACGCTTCTGCTACTGGGAGAGGTGTTGGGGGTGGTGGACGTTGGGGGGACGTGGTTGGGGTGGCGGACAGTGGGTGGACGTGGTTGGGGTGGCGGGCGGTGAGGGGGACATGGCAGGAGAGACGCTGCACCGCCAGCCGCCGCTCGCCTTCCTTTCTCTCCCCCTGCTGCTCCTACTGCAGCGGCGGTTTCTGCCCGGCACCTCGTGCGCCTCTGCTCGGCGCCTCGTGCGCCCTGCCCGCCCGTGCCCGCCCCACCAGATCGCGCACCTCGCCCCTTCTTCCCTTCTCTGCCCTCTCCCTACTACGTGTGCAGCATTTTGGGGGGAGGGGGAGGTGGTGTAAGGGGGAGGTGGCACCAACGGCACCACCCTGCCTCCTCTGTTTCTCGGCCGCACCTGCTGCTGTGGGGGGGAGGGTGGAGTGGTGGGAGTGGTGGAAGTGGCGGGAGGAGCTACTGCCGCTGCTGCTCGCCTTCCCCTCTCTCTCCTTGCTGTGTGTGCACCAGTGGGGGGTGGGTTTGGGGTGGCGGGTGTGAGCACCCAACTGCCGCCCCTCCTCCTCTCTCTCTCACTGCCGCACGTGCCGCTGCAGGGGGGAGGGTAAAGGGGTGGCGGGTTGCCGTGTGAAGGCTTGAGCAGGGATCACCGTGGGTGGGGAAGGCTTTGGAGGAAGGGTGGGGGGAAGGCGTGCGGTTCCAGGGGGTGGTTGACAAGGGAGGTGAGGTTGAGGGGGGTGGCTGAAAGGGGGCGTGGAATTAGGGGGTTAGTAAGAGGGGCTCGCCACACTAGGCTCCCCCCCACCTCCTCTCCTCCCTCTCTCACCCTCCCCCCTTTGTAAAACAGGGGTTCGTAAGAGGGGCTCGCCGCGTGGCTCCCCCCACCTCCTCTCCTCATCCCTCTCCTCTCCTCTCTCTCTCTCTCTCTCTCTCTCTCTCTCTCTCTCTCTCTCTCTCTCTCTCTCTCTCGCCTCCTCCTCCTCATTTACCTCCTTGCCGTCTTCCACTGAGCGTGGTATACCCCTTCAGGGGGCATAACTACACTTCTTCCTACAAGCAATTATGGGGGTGTGTCGAAATATGTTTACATCTTTTATAACTGCTTGTAGTTGTAGTGTAGGCATAATGATTTCCTGCTTGTGGTGCACCTCTCTTTGCATGTTTCTCAACTATTTGTCCTTGCAATTCTATAGTGCAACCATCCTTCTGTCCTACTCACTATCCTTCCTCTCGACATTAACCTAGTCCAGGGTTTCTCCTAAGCCCAGGTTCACCTACTACTTTAACGGATACAGGCTTATATAGGGGATTATGTCAGAATTCCAACCACTAGACCATTGGGATAAAAGGGCGTGTTAAATAGCGGGTCAGTGCGCCCATAACCCCCCCAGGACAATAAGCCTGTAACACTTCCCTATGATCAATCGGGGACCACTAGCGGACCTCTGACACCCTTCCGCACTGGGTTGCCCGAAGTTTACCCAATGGGATTTGAACCCGAGACCTTCGCTCTGATTCCATGTCAGAATCCCAGCCACTAACCACTGGGATAAAATAGATTGTTAAGCAGCGGGTCAGTACGCCAATACCCCCCCAGGATAACGAGCCTGTAACCCTTCCTTAGGATCAATCGGGGATCACCAGTGGACCTCCGACAGATTACATTAAAACCTAACAGCATACAACTTCTCTTAAGCTGTATATTTCCAACCTGCTAGGCATCTCGCCAACTCCGGTTGTAACATCTAGAGATTGTATCAAATAGCGAAATAATGTTGCAGTGAAAAAAATAAGACACGGATCCTAATATATTTTATGTACACCTGATCCGGATGCCTATATACATGCCGGTAAGAGCAAGGTGGTGTTGTGATGTGGTAAGACAGAAATGGTATGATTGAGTCAATATGTTTACCAATACATTTGTAGACAGTATCGTGTACCGTGATTATATTCAAAGTGACCCGTTTCGATCTCGTCACATCCCCCTTTCTCCGCCTTCCCCACCTCCCCATCCCGACTGCCTGCCAGCTCATGGCGGAAACCTTCCTGCGCTCCGCTCGCATTCCCGTTCCCCTTTTTCCCCCTTCGACTCCCCGCCTTCCCCGCCTTCCCCAACCCCCTCCAAGCGTGCACTGCGGATCAACGAGCCTGGAGGGGAGGGTAAAGCCCTAACGGCTGCACTATTTTCACCCTCTCGTCTCGTGACGCCCCCCTCTTAGCTCCGTTGCTGCAGGCAGGCCTTCGAGCTCCGGCACCATGGTGCGTACCGCTTCTAATCCCAGTCCGCGCGAGTTATTCGCTGTTAGAAACGTTCATCCTTGTACTGTGTAATCGGGTTGCTGAATAGGTACCTTGTGTCTCGTTGTTTGCGTGGCCAAGGAAGCTTGTGCCTTGTTGTTGAGTTTTGAGGCCATGTCGTTGCCCTTTCTGGTTTCTTACAATCGTACAATCGGGTTGAGATGAGACCTATTAGACACGCGGTTGATGTACGGCTGGTAGGGATTTGCGTCTATCACACGCCAAGGTTAAGAATACGTCCTAGTCGATTCTTAGGCCGTGTCTCCTTGATCGATTGCGTTTCGCCTCGAAGACACGTTTCCGCCCCGTCTGACATGTTGTGCAGACGAAGTCGCTCCGCTGATATTTTAGGGTTTACGCATGACAGTTTGACCGCTACAGTCAGCGCTTCAGCCCAAATCGACACGTCGAAGAGACATCTCTAGTCTTTCAGTAATTTTGCTTTAGGGCTAAGGATCTAGTAACACTGCATACAGCCCCCGTCTGATCCATTTCTGGGTCGTTAGTAACCCGTAGTTCAGGCCTAGACTTTCGTACGGACCACTGCTCTAACTGCACATTCCTACCAGTTTTGAAACGTCCTCTTAGCTCTTCGCATTTGGCTCAGCCTTTTTGACAGGCCAAGATTCAAGCCTTAGATTGCAGGTTAAACGCGGCGTTGTCGCCGGGACTGTAGCTGCTACTGAAGATGCTTATCCGGGGGGGAATTGGCTGGAGCTCTGCACCTCGCCCCCTCCAGTCCCCTCCCTTCCCGCTTTCTCTCCCTGATCACACTCTCTTTCCTGGTTGCGCAATACTCAGTTCAGAAGAAAAGGGAAAATGTTTCTTGGCGCCCCGCCTCCTCCGCCTCTCCTCTCCCTTCTCCCCTCCCATCCCCCCTCCCGCCGCCTCCCCCCTGCCTCCTCCCTCCTTCCCCCGTCTCGTTCCTCCTCCCCTTCCCCTCTCCCCCTCCCCGCGCGCCGCTGTGGTGCGCGCAGGTGCTGTCCAATGACATCGATCTGCTGCACCCGCCCGCGGAGTTGGAGAAGCGCAAGCACAAGATGAAGCGGCTGGTGCCCACGCCCAACAGCTTCTTCATGGTGAGGCGGACCCCGCGGGTGAGGGGGAGCCCTGGCGGAGCCGTTACGGGGTTTGGGGGAGAGTAGGAGTGGCGAAGGGCGGATTCGGCTTGTGTTTAGAGAGTGCGCTGAAATAGGGTTAGAGGGGTTTTTTGCGTTGAAAGAGAGGCAACGAGGCAGGGGTTTCTGTGGTTTGCTGAGTGGCTCGCAGCGGTAAGTGTGCACAGGGTAGCGGCCTTGGGATACTCCAGATACAGCACAGGCTGCTCTGGAACTGAGAGTGAAGTAGCCATTTGGATGTGGCTACTCCTGGAGTTGGGCTTGGTTCCCCCGACATGATCACTTGTTACGGTCTGGTGACTATGGAGAACCAGTACGTTTGAGTTCAGACGTATCTCGAGAAATCTCAACATACACTTACAGGGCGGTTTTTCTAGCAGCCCATTGGTTTGTCGAGAGGTATAGTAGCCGAAAGGTTTAGTAGCCGAGCTCCTCGTGGATGCGTGTATTTGCCTTCCTGGGGACGTCTGGCAGTGCTGTGAGTGCTGTCTCGATGGATCGATTGTCCTCCTCTCGCTTCTCACTCCCTAGTTCTCTTTCTCCCCCCCTCCTCCCCTCCCCACCTCCCCCCACATCCCCTCCCTCTCCGTGGCAGGATGTCAAGTGCCAAGGATGTTTCAGCATGTACGTTTCTCGCACCTTCTCTCGTCTTATCTTCTGTGCTCTTCGCCCTTCATCCCTGCGTCCCGTCTTTCTCTTTTACTCGGCGCTCTCTGATCATTCCCCACCGCTCTCTCGTTTCTGTCTTGGGGTTTTCTGGAGCAATCCTGCCCTTCATCTGTCATTCATGCAGGCTCGTCGTCTCTGTATTCCTGCTTCCCGCCTTTCCCACTCTCTTAACCTCCCCCGTTCCTCCTCCCCCACACCCTCCCTCCCACCGTCTGTCCGCTCCCTGCCTCCCTCACTCGCTGCACCATTCACTAAATCCCCCAACCATCACCCGTGCGCGTGTGCATGGTGCAGCACGACGGTGTTCAGCCACTCCCAGACAGTGGTGCTGTGCGGCAGCTGCTCCACTGTGCTGTGCCAGCCCACCGGGGGCAAGGCACGCCTCACAGAGGGTTGCTCCTTCCGCAAGAAGGGCGACTAAATGGTGAGCTTTCCTGGCTTTTACCCTTTTGCACGATGTTACCCCTTCAGTATTCATTGTGTTAACGTCCGCGGCCATTGCTGCTGGCATTGATAAGGCTACCCCTTTTCCGCTGTTGCGTTTGTACTGTCAGATGGTTGGAGGAACTACAGCTTTTAAGCTAGGCAGCTGAAATGAAACCAGTGGTGCCTAAGGCTGGTTCGGCACAAATGCACCTCATGGTCATGGAGCCATGTGTTCTTGACGGGTTTTGTCGAAAGCACCCAGCATGGCAAGCCATTAGTGTTGGCGTTTGAGCTAGCCTAGGGGTTTTTGCCTGCCTATTCCTAGAAGTACCAACCCATGTCTTCATCTTGTTTGTATTGCATCATGCTTGCTTAGTAAAATGGTAAAGAGCACATGCGTCTAGTGGTACAGGTAACTTCAATCCCGCGTCCCAAGTTGCAGCCCGCGGACATCAATATTACCAATCTTGATCTAGGTGTTGCCCTGTGATACTTTCTACAAATCCAGCCTAGTCCCGATACTCAATTTGAAGAACTTGGGACTTCCGCACAAACATAAGCGCAAACGAAGGCACTAGTGCCAGAAACCTCTTGCCAGCCCAAGTGCCCTGCCATCAAGATTACTAATTTTGTGCAACTTGGGCTGCGGTTTTTAAATATCCAGAAAATAACAATTACGGTTTCTTCTGGAAGGTGCCTTTTTTAAGCACGGCATTACCGAACCGGACACGCGTTCGGTTGTGTTGTTTCAAGAAACGAGATCTGATGTCAATTCAGTTTCGCGCCTATCAGTTCCTTTTCTGCTACATCGCCATTGGCGTGTCAGACCCCTGTCGTGCAGGCCACAGACGGAAAGTGTTCATGGCGCAGCTGTAGGAGTTCCCCAGAGACCATGGCGTGATAGCGTCGATCTGGAGTTCTCCGCAAGAGTCCCTTTCCAGCGTTGCTCATGCCCCTCAGAGGCCTTTTCCCGCGCGAACCATAACCAATTGCACCTTTTCGTGGCGCTTGTGCTGCGCCTCCCCGCACAGATGCTGGCGCTGCTGACCATACAGTGTCCGCCAGGCCTTCGTTTCAGTGACTTCGGGTCACGGTACGGTACCTACGGCCGAGATGAATCCAGCTCATCAGCACTCCAGTCGTAAGCAGACTCACTCCAGTCGGAAGTCCTTGGAGCACTTTGCTAAATGCACAAAACTGGTGATCGCCCATAACCTTAGATAAGTAACAAATTTTCCTAACTTCTTGAAAAATAACACCAGTCTCGTGGTTATTTCTGAGAGCACCCGTACTTTTCTGTGTGTCCACGCGTAATTTTCTACATCCCCAGCCGCCAGCCCAGCTGTGGCTTTGCGCCTCCACTTCACGGTTAGAGTTGAGAAAGTGGTGCAAGCGGAAAACCTCCGCTAGTGTCTTGACTTGACGCTGTGTTCTCGTCTCAACTCAACTCAATTGCTACCTGTCTCCACTCTGCGTAGTCTTGCTCTCACCTTGCAACATCGCCTCCTGTTCCATGGTTGCCCTCAGGTTCACCCTTGTCTCTGTCACTCCCAGGGTTGTTCTGAGGCTCTTCCATCGTTTTGTCAAGTTTCCCCAATTTATTTTTTATTAGGGCATCTATTCTTTTAGGTATCCAGTCGTAGGCATAATATAATCAACCGTGCGCTAGGCTGTAGTAATTTAATAATGGGCGTGGAGGTCGATGCCGCTCCTGCGGTGGAGCACGGCGTGCGGCGGGGACTGGCCGCGCACGGCCGCAGCGTGAGCGCCAAGGAGGGCGTTATTTATCGATCCAACGCGCACGCCGCGTCCCTTCAACCTCGCTCGAGAGCCGGCGCCATGGCAGCAGCGCCGTCTGCGGAAATCCAGGCGAAGGAGAGTAAAGACGACGGGCAAGTGAAGCCCTATGGTGCGGGCGGAGGGGCTCCTCTGTCTCCTGGCGCCGATGCTTCTAAGGCGTGCTTCGATGGGAGCGGCGGCAAGGGCCTGCGCGCGACTGCTTACGACGAGCACAGCAACACGATGCGCGGCGGAGCTGGCGCACCAGGAGGCGACGGGGGAGCGCGCGGAGCCGCGCAGGCGGAAGGGATGGCCGATTTCCGCACGTGGCTCGAGGACCAGATTAGGTTTAGCGAGTCGCTATCCATGATGAGCGCGGCCATGGCTGGCTCGTCCTCTAAAGCCGCTGGTTCAGTTCCGCGCACCCGCTCCGCCGCCGTCGTGTCCCTTGCGCGCCTCCCTTCGCTCCCGCTCTCCTCGCACGCCGCCGGGAGCACCGCCGCCGCCGCCGCGTCGCCCACGGCGGATGGAGCATCTGGGTCCGATTCCGCGCTTCCCGTATCTGGTCCGCTGTTGCCCCCTAACGCCGTTGTTCCGCTGACTCTTGGATCCGCCTCCGGCGCCTCTTCCGGCGGATCTGGCGGCGGGGGCATGCTGCTGAGCCGCTTCTCCCCGCTTCGCGCTCTCGCTCGGGTAGCGGCGCGCCGATCGCGCTGCTGCTTCTCCATGCACGTGCACGGCATCAGCGGCCTCCCGCCAGCGTTCAACCGTCCGCCCAGCGGAGCCGCGAAAAATGGCGGCGGCGGCGGGGGGGGCTGGGAGGCTGTGGTGACGTGGCAGCGGCGCGGAATGGCGGTGGGAACGAGCTTCGCGGAGGTGAACGAGGGGGTGGTGAAATTCGAGCAGATGCTTCAGTTATCGTGCACGCTTTACTTCTCCTCCGGTCCCTCGTCCACGCTGCGCTTTCAGGGCAAGCCGTCCACCGTGGTTGTCCGCGTGCTCGACCGCTCTGGGGGCGGAGCCGGCGGAAGGAGCGCGGGCGCGGGCGCGGGGGGAGCGGCGGAGGGTCGGATCGGCAGCAGCTACGAGATCGGACGGCATCTGGTGGATCTCTCGCGGCTCGTCCCGCAGTCGCTTGTGGAAACGGAGATCGGGCCGCACACGCTCTCGTTCCCGCTCGACGGCCCCGCGAAAGGCGCCGTGTTGCTCGCTACGTTCGGGTACGAGTTGCAGATTAACCAGCACAGCAGCGGTGGCGGCGGCGGAAGGTACGGGGAGGCGCGGGTCGCGCGCGCGGAAAGCCGCGCGTTCCGCGCGTTCTCGCTCCCTAGCAGCGCGCGCACCTCCCCCAGTTCAAGCCCGTCGCGGTCGTCGGGGTGGGCGGGCGCCACGACCGCGACTTCGTCGTCTAGCGCAGCGTGGGAGGCGCGGAGCGGCGGAGGAGAGTGGGGGATGGAGGAGGGGCAGGGGGAGACCCCGGGGGTGGAAGAGGGGCCTGAGGCAACGTCGCTAGAGCGAGAGGGGGAAGAGGGGGTGGGGGAGGTCGGGGTGGGGGCGGGGGAAGTTTACGCTGGTGGGGAAGGGGAAGTTGAAGCGGAGAGCGCAGTGGGTAAGGGTGGGGGCGGTGAGGGCGGAGAGAGAGCGGAGGGCGGAGGAGAGGTAGAGTCTGTAGTGGTGAGAGAGGGGTGGGGTGCGACAGAGGATGAGAGAGCGGGTACTGAAGGGGAAGGTGGGGGAAGGGACGAGGGAGGTAAGGGCGGAGTGGGTGTGAGTGGTGGAGGGGAAGGGGGGGGGGCGACTGAGGATGTTGGAAATAATGAAACACAGGATGATACTATAATGGATGTGATTGAATTGGAGGATCTTGTAGCGATTGAGTCGTCAGAGGGGGCTGAGTCACCATTCACCGCACGGGTCCCAGCCATTTCTTCCGCTGGCGCTGCTGCTGATTCCTCGCTTTCTGCGCCACATGCAGCACCAGCAGCAGGGGTGGCTAGCGATGGGGCTGGGGGAGCGGAGGAGGAAGAGGGAGTGCTGGAGGAGGAGATGGAGGCAGTTACTGATGAGTTCCTGGCTCTGCTTCTGGAAGGGCAGCTGAGTCCAGAGAGGGAAGGCGACAATCCAGGCCGCCCCAGTGGCAGCAGAAGCAGCAGTGTGAAGGGCGCCGGCAGCAGTGGTGCTGTGAGTGGTGCGGCAGCAGTTGGCGGTGTGGCGGGGGGTGGTGGGCTTGTGCTAGCAAGCTCGACTCTGTCGCACAGTGGCATGCTCACAGTGGGGAACAATGGGCTCTGGCTGGATAAGATTCCGGAGGAGGAGGAAGGAGAGGTTGATGGAGATGATGGGGAGTGAGGAGGAGCGGGATGAGGGAGAATTGTTCTTGTGGTGTTGAAGGCATTATGGGGTTTGTTTGAAGCCAGTGGCACTGGCTTCAAACGGTTCAACCAAACTGTTGGTCTGAGTGGTGTCTGGTCGTTGATTCTTCTGCATCAGTGGTGCTTGCTTGTCTTAAAAGTCACCAGAAGGTGGCTTGCTCTGAGTGTGTCAGCAAGGTTTGTGCTTGATATATTTAGGGTATATTTATTCGGTAGGACGTGTATTCAAGTTTGTAGGCTGAGTACAATGTTTTCTGTATTGTTATTTCTGAATTCTTTATCTTATCTGAGGTCCAATGTGCTCTTTCTTGAGATGCTATAAGAACCAAACTAGCTTCCAGATTCTAGGGTACCAGCCAGATGAAGCCAGTACACTACCAATCATTTAGGTGTTCTCGTGTTATTGTTCAATCTGGTCACATTCATTTCCCACGTTCCTTGGAGATGTTCGGCTGTGAAGCCCTTCGCGAAGATTCGATCCTGAAGTGCGATTCGCGGAGACAGTCGTTTGTGTGTTGGATGTTTTTTTCACTAGTGCTTGGTTCTGCCTCTTCCCCATCCCATTCATTCCACAGAACTCTCATGGCTTCCATCTCTCTTGCCTGTGCTACGCCCTTCTGCAGCTTGCCAACGTCAGTTCCCTGTATCCCTTCTGTCGTAGCGGCCAAGCCTTCACGCGCTCCTGTTTCGGTCACCTTTCGTGTGCAAAATAAGAAGCGTGTGAGCAAGTGTGCTTCTCGGCTTGTCTGTATGGCTGGCGCAGTGGAGGAGCGTTTGGGCATTAAGATCGAGCGCAACCCATCAGAGGCGCGTCTGTCGGAGCTTGGGATCCGTTCCTGGCCGACTTGGGGGTGCGAAGTGAGTGAGTTTCCCTGGACGTATAGCGGCACGGAGACATGCTACCTTATTCGCGGCAAAGTGAAGGTCACGCCAGCAGGCGAGACAGAAAGTGTGGAATTCGGGGCTGGGGACCTTGTCGTGTTCCCTGACGGCATGAGCTGCACATGGAAGGTCTCAGAGGCTGTGCACAAGCACTATCGCTTTGACTAGGAATAACACTCGTGGGGAGTATGCCTCACTAATTGTTCGAGCTGAGGGGTACTGTAACTATGTTATACCACTCACAATATTTGTTGACAGAATACAATGTACGTGCTCTTTGTGCTTGGTAGAACTTGGATGGAAGTGCTCTAGAAGTCGGAACATTTTGAACGGCGAATCCTCTTACGTGAACTGTCAGGCATTATACCGTTATTATTGCCCACGAAAATTCATTCCATTATTTAATACTGTTGATGATACATGTATGGTAGTTACCTCTTGTTGGAAACATTATCATGAATGAGCTGGATGAATGTCAGTGAATCCAGATACATGTAACTTCACCGTAATAAATGATAGGGCACGGTAATGCACGACCTAGAAGCAACGTAGACTCGGCTACACATGTAGACCTAGTGCAACGTAGAAGCAATATACAACGTTATGCACGGTTGCGCCGTAAGAATGAGCCGAGTTGAGCTATGGGAAAGCTGCAACTGAAGCTCACTTTTGCGCTGGTACGTGCGGGCTGATGGTAGACTCGACGTCATATTTCGTCTTGACAAATTCCCGAAGTGGTGAGTGCTTGTACTCCTTGCCTTCTTTCTCAGAACACATCTCTCCGCCGTTGTCCACCCTGGACGCCTTGTTGACACTGCCATCCACAGACAGGCAAGTTAAATTGCTAGTTGGAACGAGTAAACCAAAAGCCAAAAGCGTGAACTTTGATGGTTGAACTTACAAGACGTCGGGTTGGAAGAGGGCCCTGCTTCCACTGTACACCATGAAGGTCAGGCCTGCGCCCATTGCGGCAATGAGGGGATAGACCTGTAATGGTAACACAATGGGGTCAAATTATGTCGGATTGGAAGTAACCCGCCCAAATATGCTATTGTACAACACTTACATCAGGCTTCACCCACTGCTTCATGAATGACTTGGTAGCTGCCATTTCGACACTCTACTGGCTCAAAAGGACGTGAAAGGCGGAAAAAGGCTTCAAGAAAGGCGAATGAGCGGGTGCCGGTTGTTGGAGAACGTTGGATATGGAGGACGCTGGAGTCGGAGATGGATGGTGAAGTTGGTAGAGAGTCGAAATGGCAATTCCAAGTTCACGAACTGTCGAGTTTGAAGCACACTTCCTGCCTTTGGTCGGATTTGGTCAGAAGTGAAGAGCCGGGGTAGGCCTTGGGCCTCCTTCCCGCTGACGCGCAGTTTGCCTGGAAGTAGCGGATGGGTACGTGGAATCCGTGATATCTGGGAATGCGTCAGCAGGCACTCGTGCGTTGGCTCTCAATTCTCATTAACGATTGGCCCGTTTGGCATCAGAGCTGGATTCTCATAAAGTGTCGTCAACGGTGTATCGAGTTTCGCAACCAATTATAGGAGCCCGAATGTTACCATATTCACGACCTCACAAAACACTGCACCGTACCATACCACCTACTGCTCCAATGAAAGTACGTTTTTCCCAGATGGAACTCAATATCAGCTTGACGCTTGTCAATTCCCCAAAACCAGCCGTTTGAAACAGTGCATCTTCTGGAGTGTATCCAATATCCCAACTACGGGTAACAGATATCTCCGAATATATCTCAGAGGACAAGCGAGTCTGCCTGTGGGCAAAAAAAAATAAAACCCATTCGGCCATGCATCCGGTCAGGGAGGCATCAACCCTAAACACAGGGAGGCATGGATTTAGGGTTGATGCCTCCCTCGGATGGCATGCCATCCGATAGGGTTTTGGTTTTTTTTCTGCCCGGGGCAGCATGTCAAGTCGTCAATGGGTCGTCAGGCTTGACGACCCATTTCCGCTGGGATATTCCCTATTTAGTCGTTTTATATATAGCCATGCAAGGGAAATTCTTGGTTTTCTCCATTTTAGTACCTTTCTTCCAGAAAAGTGGATAGCCTCCTTTCTATAATTTCACCTTTCAACCCGTTCATGCCAACAGAACTCCCATGAATTTACATACTGACAAAGCCACTAACTAGCAGTTTCATGTGAGTGCATTGTGCACTCGTTCGAGCAGCCGAAGCACAGCCTGCAAGGGGACAGGCGAGTCACCCTCTTCCAAGGGATCAATGCAGGATCGCAGTGCCTGCAGGGACCATGGCCCACCCACCCCACCCACCAAACCTGCCGGCTCCCTCTCATGTCCCACTGGACGGCTTTGCACACCGCGATCCATGTCCTCCGTATCAATATCCGCACCAACATTAACGTCAGCATCAGCATCTGCATCTGCGAAGGCAAGGGAGCGATATGCATGTGGCGCCTCCTCCTCGGCATCCATATCGCTCCTCCTACCTCCATCTGCCCAAGCGCTTCCTGCAGCAGGGGCCATCCCAGCAGTAGCCACGAAGGTGTGATTCAAGTGCGTAGCAATAACTGCTTCCTGACTCAGCCCAGCAACGTTTGCTCCAGAACCAGCACCACCAGCACCACCAGCACCACCGTCAGATGCAGCAGCAGCGCCACCTGCTGCCTCGGCCAAGCCTCCATCCCCTCCCACCCACACTCTCTCCCGGGGGCCTTCTAGCAGGTCTAGCAGCGCAGACGACCGCCATTCCACCATGCCCTCCCCGCCACTGCTCCCACTCCCACTCCCGCTTCCACTCCCGCTCCCGCTCCCGCTCCCGCTCCCACTCCCGCTCCCGTTGCTGCTGCTGCCGCTGCCCGCAGCAGCAGTACGTGCCATCCTGGTGGTTTTCCTCCTCCTGCTGCTGCCGAGGCTGGCAGCAGAGGGGGGAAGAGAAGCTGCGTAGGCAGGGCCGAGGAGGGAGGAGGCGGCGGCGTCTGCAGAGGCGCCTGAGAGTACATGGTGCTGCTGGCGTGGGGAGAGGTGGAGGAACTGAGACAGCATGTCGCCGTCTAGCACTCGAACCACATGCGGCTGGAGAGAGGGGAGGGAGCGGGGGTGAGGGGATGTGAGAGGGATTGGAAGATTTTCTTTAGGCCCATTTTAGACGAGTTTTGGAACGACTGCTGAGGTGACTATTGAGACGGCTTTTGAGTCGACACAACCGTCGCACAGCACAGCACAGCACAGTACATGGGGCTGCAAGGGGTGAGTCGGAGGGAAAGGGAGGCGGCATGATGAGAGAGGCGTAAGGAGAGGAAACTGAGGTGAGGTTGAGGGGAAAGACAAAAGGAAAGAGACAAATCTGGCATCCGGAACGTCGAAGAAAGTGAAGCGAAGTCTTACTGGAGCCCCTTTGGAACGGAAGTGAGCGTGGTTGTTGCCTAGGAGGGGGGCTGTGAGTGGGTGCTCTGCCAAACGGCGCTCTATGAGCGCCAGTAGGGCATAATCCGCTCTGAGAGGGGACAGACGAGAGGGGAGAGCGGAAAAAAGGAGAAATGGGGGAGAGAGGGGAGAGAGGGGAGAGAGGGACATAGAGATGGGCGATGGAGATAGGGGATGCAATGGCACGGATAGAACTACAAAGACTGTGCAAGCGTGGACTTGTGCAAGCGTGGACTTGTGCAAGCGTGGACTTGTGCAAGGAAGCAACAAGCAAACCAAGATGCGCGGTGCGGTGGTGGCACACGCACCTGGACAGTTGCAGCAACGTAACAACCGATCCTAGCAGAGTGGAGACCACAAGGGACGAAGCACCCATGGATGAATCCCCACCGCCCACACTGCCACCCCTCCCTCTCCCTGCACCCATCCCTTTGCCACTGCCCATGCCCCCTCCCGCCTCTGCTGCCCCTCCTGCTTCCTCCCTCTCAACCAGTGCATCTACTGGTTGACGCTGCTGCTGCAGGTGCTGCTTTGGGAGGTGGTGGTCAGCGGATGCCAGGGGGGTGCGGTAGGCCAGGGAACCCTGCAGCACCAGCAGCACGAGCAGCAGCAGCAGCACAACATTGGAGTTGAGATTGGGGGAAGCCTCGCAAGCAACAGCGGCACATTGGAGCTGCTTCTCAGGAAGCCTCACGAGCAACAGCGGTACAGGAAGGGTGAGTGGTGGAAATCGTGTGGTGCTGGGGTGCACGAGTATGGAACAATCCTCCCTCTTATCCTCTCCACCTTTCTACCCTGCTTCTTCCCCCTATCCCTCTCCCCTTTTCCCTCACTCCCCTCCCAGCACGCACGTTTTTCACAACCTGCACGCCTTCCCCCCTTTAGAACCGCGCCCTCTCTCTGCAAGTGTTTTGAGGCACCTCAAAACTTGTCTCTCCCCCTACTTCCTGTCCTCTCTCCTCCCCACTCTCCCGCCCAACCCAACGTACCTTTTTCACACCCTGCACGCCTTCCCCCAGGTAGAACCACGCCCGCTCCTGCAGGTTCCGCTCTGGGCTGTTGCCCGTGCACCCTGCATGTAGGCCTGGAGAGGACCAGTACAAGTTTTGCAAGGGAAAGAAAGATGCACGGACAGAGGTCAGCAGCGCAGGCGGGTGGTTCAATCAAACAACGGTCACAGCTTTTTTCTGAGGCGTCTAATAGAAAGACGAATCTCGAAATATGAGGCTGAGCAAGGAGGTATTGAGGAGGTACGGTACGCACCAAGGTCAGGAGGAGAGGGTCGTGGTGGCGAGGCGAGGAGGCACAGGGAGCCGCGGCGGTCGCAAGCAAGAGCAGCGGCGGGGTGGGAGGAGAGCAGCAGACATGCAGACGTGAGGCGGTGCGATGGGTCTGAGTGCAGTAGCTCGAACCGTGCTGCTCCCTGTGATGGGCATGGGCGGGAGGCGACAGGAGAAATATTGGGGGCACACAGGGATGGGAGGAGGGGGTATAGGGGATCTGGATAAGTGGAGATAGTTGAAGGTGGTGCGATGGATCTGGCTGCAGCAGCTCGAACCGTGCTGCTCCCTTCCCTGGGAGGGAGACGCTGGGAGTCATGCTGGGTGCGCACCAGAGGAATAGAGGTGACAGGTGGGGGTTGAGGCGGTGACAAGTTGACGTGCAAACGGGAGAAAAGGAAAATGGCAGCACACGAGGGAAAATCCTGGAAAGGTACACATCAGCATGTTGTGAATCTTGAGTCGAGCCACTCGACTCATCGGAGGAGGTGGGGAGGGGATATATTTGTAACAAGAGACCATCGGAGTAGGTAGAGCGTTTGGTTAATGGGTGGGTACCTTGTGGAACGCGTATAGCAGCACACCATCCCGTGAGTCCGCCGCCAGAACGTGGTGAGTGAGCGGGGCGGAAGCAGACAGAGCGGCCGACAGAGCAGGCACAGCGGCAGCGGCAGCAGCAGCAGCAGCAGTGGCAGTAGCAGTAACAGTGGCGGCGGCAGGAGTGGCAGAGGAGGAGGATGGGAGGGGCCCGGAGGAAGGCGGGAGAGGGGCGTGTGGGGGCGTGGGCGGAGCAACGGAGAGGGAGCGAATGGCATGGCGGGTTCTGATGGAGGCGACTCGGCGCAGATATGCCTTGGGGGAGAAGGAGAAGCACAACAGCTGGGGGGGCGGGAGGGGCGGGAGGGGAGGGAGGGACGGAGGGAACAGATTGCGAGACTTTTGAGGCTCTAATGGAGTGACAAAAGATGGAGTGAGAGGGTTTAATGGAGGCAGAAGGCAACAGAGAGACGGCCTGTGGTATGCACGCATGTTCAGCAAGTAGCCACGTACAGGTAGGTATGTACGCACGCATGCACCATGTTTCTCCCAGCAACGAGCAGATACTTTGTGCAAGAGGAGAGGGACAGCCGACAGGCAACAGAGAGTGTGATTCGATTCGAGTCGACTCAACCGTACCATGTTACCAGCAGCAACGAGCAGGTACTTGTGCAGGAACGGCACGATGGCAGAGACTGGCCCAGGCATGGGCATACTCCGTAACAACACCACCTCCCACCCTCCCACTGCCGCTCCTGCCGCTTCTCCTGCTGCCGCCACTGCCGCTGCCTGTTCTATACCCCCCTCGCCAGCACCACCGCGAGAAGCATCAGCCCCGCTGCTTCCCACAGCCAGTCGCCCCTCCCCCACCCCCTCCCCCACCTCCTCCTCCTTCTCCTCCTCCCCACTATTCCTTCCTATCCATCCCATGCTGCCATTCACCTGCTGGTCACCTGTCACCCCTCTTCTCTCACCAGATCCCGTCCCTTGCTCCTCCCCTCCCATCCCTCTCTCCCTCCCAATCCCACCAGCACCACCCTCCGCCATTCCCTCTCTACCCTCCTCAACTCCACCCGTCTCCTCTCCCCCCCCTCTCCCCACCTCTCCTGCGCCCCTCCCTCCCCCTGCAGTGCTAGTGCCTACTTCTGCTCCCCCTGCTCCCCCTGCTCCCCCGCTTTCTCCCCCTCCCCTCCGCTCAGCAGCAGCCACTGCCCGTCTCATCCGCTCCAGCACCCCACTCAGCCCCCCAAGCCTCTCCCCCGCCCCCCCTTCTTCCCCCCACCTCCCCCCCCTGCCACTGCCACTGCCTCCGCGTGGCGCCCCTATGCCTGCTGCTGCAGCTGAGGTAACCGGTGGTGAGGAGGAGAGAGGCGTGGAGAGAGGAGGGAGGGGAGGGAGCGACGGACGAGAGGGTCGGGCAGGAGGAGCGGTGGAAAGAGGTTCGGTGCAGGGCTGGAGTCGCAGCATATACAGCGTGCCCCTGGGAGCGTGGGGGGAGGGGGAGGTAGAGGCAGGGCGGAGAGGGGGAGGGCGGAGAGGGGGAGGAGGGGAGGGGAAAGCGATAGGAGGTTGGGGGTTGAAGTGGATTGAGCGGAGAGAAGGGGGGGAGTGGGGCAGGCGCGAGTGGGGAGAGGGGAACGAGGGGGATGAGCACAAGGGATGAGAAGGGACAAATGTAGGGAAAGGGCAAGCGACGGGATAGAGGAAAGCACTGCTGTTGGAATGAGGAGAGGTAACGTGAGAGAAGAAGGGAAGCGATGGGGAGGAAGAAGTAGCAGGAGAGAAAGGAACAGAGGGAGGAGAGGGAAGGAGGCGGAAGCATGCAAAAGAAGAAACCAGCGAAGCGATCGTATGGCTGGAAATGAACCCTTGAATCAGCTCAAAACGGAAGAGGGGGGGGGGGGGGGGGGGGGGGGAGGGAAGCGGGGAGAAGGGGAAGAACGGGGACTTGGGGCAGAACATGAGGCAAACGGCAAACGGCAACACAGATATGCCCCCATTGAACACAGTTGCGCTTCACAGTCCAACTGGCTGGGTATGCACCATGCTAGATAACAGTGAAGTACGAGTGGCAGCATACCCGGTATCAGAGCCTTCAGTCTCCTCTGTTCCTAGCATCACAAATTCATGCCTGCTGCTCCCATGCTCCCTCCGCCTCTGCCTTCCCCCCTGCTGCTGCTGCTCCGCACCTGCCACCGCTTTCCCTTTCCCCTTCCCTCCATCCCTCCCCAACTCCCTTTCTCCATCCCTCACACCCTCCGCCTCATCCTCCTCCCCCTCCTTGCCATATCCCCTACCTCCTGCCTGATGCCCTGTGTGCTGCTGCAGGGGCGAAATGGGAGAAAGAGCCATTCGAGAAGGCGTGTGGGCGTGGGGGAGAGGAGCGAGAGGGGAGGGTTCCTGCTGCTGGGAGTGGGAGGAGGAGGGTGCGTGGTGAAGTGGGGGAGGGACGCCAGAGGTTTGTTGCGGAGTGGAAGGTGGGGGGCTTTGGATCGGTGTCATTGGCTGCTGCTGCCCTTGCTGCTGCTGCTGCCCTTGCTGCTGCTGCTCCTCATCCTGCTGCTCCTGCTGCTCCTGCTGCTCTTGCTGCTCGTGCTCTTGCTGCTGCTGTGCAGATGTTGCTGCTGCAGCATCTGGCGCATTCTCCTCCTCCTCCCCCATTTCCTCCTCCACCACCACCACCTCTTGCACCCGAATCTCCTCTTCCCCCTCCCCTTCTCCTTCCTCTTCTCCCTCCTGCCGCCCCTCTCCATACCCACCGCCCCTCCCCCGCTGCCCCTCCAATTCCCCCTCCTCTCCCCTTTCCTCTCCTTCCTCCCCCCCACTCCCTTCCCCCAACCCCTCACTCTCCCTCCGCACTCGCTCCCTCCCTCCTCCCACTCCCCTCCGCCTTTCACCCAACCGTCCACCATACCCCTCAGACCCACCCACCCACCGCACCCGATCCGTACGTTTCAGCTCTGGAAACGTTTCCTCCTTCCCCTTCCCCTTCCCTGCTCGCACCACACCCTTCCCCGCAACCCCACCCTTCCTACCTCGCAATCTCGGTCGTTGCGGCTGCCAGAGCGCCAGCGAGCGAGTACGGGACGACACAGGAAGCTCAAAGCTCGAAAGAATCGACCCAGACGATGGGTCTACACACCGGAGGGACGGCCGCGAGGGGGGCGACGAGGGGGTGGGTGGCGGGGACGGTTGCTCGAGGAACAAGGAGAGAGACGGGTGGGCGCGAGGAGGAGGGGCGGCGCAGGCGACGAGGAGTGTGTGAGAGGAGGGGTGGAGCAGGAGGCGGTGCGGCGTGGCGTGTAGCGGCATGCGGTGCATATCTAGCCGACGGGCCCTGGCTAACTCCACAATATGCAGTGACCTATCAGCGACAAAGATAATCCCGCTGGTGCAGCCCGCACAGGAGAGCGGTGCAGCGTGTGTGCACGCGGGGAAGGAGATGGAGGCGCAGAGCGGGCGCATGCTGTGTGACGAGTGCACCAGCAGCCAGGGCCTCTCGCTCATTGCCACCACATCGCACTGCAGCGACGGCTGCAGCGGCACCAGCACCACGGGGGACAGACCCAGCTGCCGGTCTGCTACTAGCTCTAGTTGGACCGCACGGGGGAGGGGGTTGCTGGTGGATGAAGCAGCGCGTGCGGGTGCGGGAGTGAGAGCCCCTGCCGATGCCCGCAGCAGCGCCTGTGGTTCCTTCCCTTGCGGCCATGCGAACCTGACAAGGGTGCCGTTGCGTAACCCCACTGCCACATACGCCTGGTCGAACAGCAACAGGCACGTGCTCTCCGGCACACTCCCTCCCATGCTGCCACCGCTGCTGCTGCTGTTGTTGCTGCGAGCGAGAGCGGGGAGGGGGAGAGAGCGCAGGGGTGCGAGGGCTATGAGGCGGAAGAGGTGTGCCGGGTCGAGGGATACGACTCGCACGGATGGCTCGTATGTGCCTAGTAGGGCAACACGCCCCACGAGACATGGCCCGCCTGCTGCTGCCGCTGCGCCTGGTGTTGCTGCTGTTGATGCTGCTACTGCTGCTGCTCTTGGTGGTTCACCGAAACCTGATTCTCCCTTTCCCTGTGACTGTGCCTGCCCCTGTCCCTGTCCCTGTCCCTGTCCTAGTTCATGCCCCTGTGCGAGTGGCAGCGGAGGGAAGGTATCATCTGGGATGTAGATACAGGACAGCTCATACTGCAGTGAGTACCGACACACCTCCACCAGACCCACCCGCGGGGGAGGACATTCATGCGCCGAAACCCCACCTAGTGCGCACATGGGGGAGTGCTGCGTTGCTGGGGGCAGCAGGGAGCATGTGAGCATGACGAGCACAGGCGGATTGCATGTGAGCGCCACTAGCACCACTCCGCTCGCCACCGCTGCCACTGCTATCTGCTGCCTGCTGCTGCCGCCGCTGCTACTACTCCTGCTCCTGCTTCTGCTGCTACTGCTACTGCTGCCGGCAGTGGCGTTAGAGGAGGTGATGGAGGAGAAGGAGGGTGGGACCCAGAGCAGCCCATCATACGACACCCCGCCTTCTCTCCTCCCATCGCCAACACCCCCACATTCCCCATCCAACCCAATCTCCATCCCTTCACCCGCGCCCGCCTCCCCATCCTCCTCTCCTCCACCCTCCCCTCCTTCACTCCCCCGCATGAGAGCCTGGGGCACACGGCACAGGCGCACCTGGCCAGGTGTTACCTGCACGAGGTACCCGTCTAAAATGCGACCTGCTGCTAGTGTGGGCGAGCAGAGATCCATAGGGACTTGATCGGATACGTCTCTGAAGCGACTACCCACGGCTAGCACACGCGTCTGAGAGACAAACGACATGACGAAGAGCGAGTGGTGCTCGTCCCCTGCCCGCACCCGCACTGTCCACGTGCCTGTGACCCCATGGTACTCGGGAGGGGTTGATAATAACCGCTCCACACTGACCCCGTTCCGCACCACACACACCGCCCCGCCCTCCCCCTCCCCGCATGCTGCCACTACCTGATCCTGCTGCTGTCCCCCCAGGTCTGCTAAAGTGAAGTCTATTAGAGGTGCGATGCCGGGGATAGGGGAATGGAGGGTGAGGGAGATTGGCGGGGATGGGAGCGGGGAGGATGAGGGGAGCGGGTTGGGAGGGAGGGTTGGGTGATGGGAGAGAGGGGGAGGTGGAAGGGAGGCGGGGCGGTTGGTGTTGCGTTTGCTGGGTGATGCGTCTCTGTCGCATTCCATTAGAACCCATTGGTCCTTCCCCGGCCCTCTCTTGTTGCCTTCCCTCTGCTCCCTCTGCTGCACCTCCCCCGTTTCTGTACCCGTTGCGGCAGCATCAAACCCACCAGAAGCAGCAGCAGCAGCAGCAGCAGCAGGCGTGGTAGGGTCATGAGTGCACTGGTCTGCTTCCATTCCCTGCTCATCCACTCCCACCCCACACCCCCCTTCCCTCTCATCCATATCACCTGCTCCCATCTCCCTCTGCTCTTCCTCTCCACCTCCTCCCAACCCTGCCTCTCTTTCCCTCCCCTCCCCACCCCTCTCCCCCTCCACTTCGTCCCCCTTCTTCTCCCCCCCAACCTGGAACACGCACCCTGACCCAGCAGCAGCAGCAGCAACCACCGTGTGTTGTCCTGCCCATGCCACAGCCCCCACTGCCACTCCACTTGCAAGCATTGGTGATAGCCACACCTGTAAACACCCCTCTTCACTCACCGTCCCCTCCTCCTTGCCCTCTCCCCTCCCTCCCTCCCCACCCTCACACCCTCCCCTCCTTCCTTCCTCTCCCTGCCCCTCCGCCTCCCCCGCCCTCTCCGCCCTCTCTCCCTCCCCCTGCCCCTCCTGCTCGCGCGGAGGGGCGCACTGAAGGGACATGGGGGAGCAGGGGGACGGGGGGGAGGCGCGGGAGGTGGGCGGAACGGGGGACGGGAGGCGAGGGCTACCGGGGGAGGCGGAGAGGGGGGAGGTGGGTGTGAGTGCGGGGGTGAGCGCGGAGGTGGTGGAACGAAAGGAGGCAGAGGCGGAAGACAGGGCGGGGGAGGAAGAGGAGGAGGAGGCGGAAGAGGGTGTGTGGTGCTGAAGGGAAAGCACGTGAAGAGTGCCTTGGTCCGTGCAGAGGATGAGTCTTTCCTCCTTTACTACACACCTCACACCACTCCTCCCACACTGCTTCCACCACTGCTGCTCTCGCTGCTGCCGACCGTGCTTCTCATCCTCCTCCACATCGCCCTCCCCCCACACAGCCCCTTCCACACGCCCACTCTCGCCACCACACCTTACTTTCCTCCTTCTGCCAACCCTAGATCTTGCCTTCCCTTTATGCCCATGCCCATGCCCATGCCCATGCGCATGCCGCATGTGGCACCATCTCTCTGGCGTGGCCTGCACCTCCCAGCTCCAACTGCTGATCAAAACCCCCTCCTCGCCTCCCCCTTCCTCCTCCAACAATCTCAATCCCAACGGATCCTCCTCCTCCGTATCCTCTTCTTCCTCCTCATCCTCATCCTCCTCCTCCTGCTCCTGCTCCTGCTCCACCTCCTCCTCCCCGTCCCACCCCCTCTCCCGATCATACTCCTGTTCCTCTTCTCCCCCCCGCTCGTTCTCTCCCCTGTCTTCTTCCATTTCCTGCTCCGCACCTGTGCCGCCCTCTTCATCCCCTTCTTCTCCCTCTCCTTCTTCCTCCCCCTCCCCTCCTTCCTCTCCCTCCCCTTCTCTTCCCCCCACCCTCCCCTCGACTTCACACTCGGGTCTATCTGCCCCCTCCCCATCCCCCCCCGCACATTCCCCCACACCCACTTCCCCATCATCACCCCCTCCCGCTCTCTGCGTCTTGTCCCAACACCTCTCTCCCCATCCTACCCCACAACCACCACTCCCATAACCCCCCCTGCCATCACCACCACCCCGTGAATCCTCTTGTCTAAGAACCAGACTCCTCTTTCCCACATCGTCCCCCCCACACCGCTCCACGCACCTCACCACCTCACTCCCACTCGCCCCTCCTTCTGTCCCAGTCCAACCCCCCCTAATCCTCCACCTGTCCCTCACCTCCCCCACTTGCCTATCCTCCACTCTTCCACCCAATTCTCCCCCCACTGCGACCAGCCCAGCTACTGCCTCTCCAGTTACCACCTCCCCCAGGTACCCCTTCCCACCATTCTCCTCCACATAACGCCGCCCCTGCACCAGAGCATGCCTGACTGCATCCCGGGCAAGGCGTGCAAAGGGCGAAGGCGCGAGGGGGGCCGAGCGGACAGAGAGAGCAGCCGATAGGACAGGAGAACCGGAGGGCAGGCTAGGGGATTCTCGCGGGGCGCTGCTACAATGTTGGAATTCACTTCCACCACCATCACCACTGCCGCCAACGCTACTGCTGCTGCTGCTGCTGCTGCTCCCAGCAGCAATGCCACACTCCATGCTGCAACCCAAGCTGTCTCCCATAGTGTTTCCTCCCACACGCCTCTCCCACTGTTCCCTCCCTTCTCCCCTGCTCCCTGCGCCTGCCCACGCCCTTCCACCTTCCCCAATACCCCCAGATGCACCACTCATCCCTCGCCCCTCGCCCCTGTCCTCGTCACTCCTCCCCTCTCCCTCCCTACTCCCGTCCTTCCCGAATCCTCCCCCAGTTCTCCCACCGCCGCTTCCTGTTCCTCCTCCGCTCCCCCCTGTTCCCCCGCCCCCTCCCCCTCCCCCTCCACCGCTGCCTCCTCCCCCTCCGCCTCCTCCACCCCCTCCTCCCCGTCCTCGCCCCCGTCCTCTCCTCCTCCTCTCCCTCCCCCTGTGCCACCCCCCAACTCTCTCCCCCTCACTCCTCACATCCCTTCCCAGCCCAACCACTGCTTCCACCACCATACTCACTCCCTCTCCCCTCTCCCCCTCCCTCACACCAACCACCACCACACTCCCCTCACGCAGCAGCAGAAGGGTGTTGGGGGTGCGGGGGGGGGTGACGAGATGCATGGGGCAGGGTCGGGCGGGGATGGAGAGAGAGGAGGCAGGGCGGAGGGAGGCGAGAGCAGGATCACAGCGCAGCAGAACCAGGTCAAAGGAAGAGGAGCCCTTGCTGGGGAGGGGCAAAAAAGGAGGGGCATGCCACGGGTGGGTGGACTGAGGGTTTAGCAACTTTGGTTCTGGGTTTTTGTTTTTTAGAGTATGTGGGGAGGGAGGAGAGTGATGGTGAAGGGATGGAGGACGAAGGGGAGAGCAGCAGCAAGAAATGTCCCGATTGCAGAAACGTTGAAGGTTGAAGTGTCAAAATCCGCATGGAGGTTGCTTGATGAGCTAACTCAGAGATTCTAAGTGCCAGAGCACTGCGCAGAGCGCACACAGAGAGCACAGCGCAGGGAGCAGAGAGCAGAGAGCAGAGAGCAGAGAGCAGAGGGCAGAGAGCAGAGAGCAGAGAGCAGAGAGCAGAGAGCGGAGAGCACAGAGCAGAGAGCGGAGAGCATAGAGCACAGGGCGGAGAGCATAGAGCACAGGGCGGAGAGCACAGAGCACAGAGCACAGAGCACAGAGCACAGAGCACAGAGCACAGAGCACAGTGTCCACTTCTCCCAGCGTTTACAAGCCACGTACCTGTGTGAAAGCACTGCAAGGTACAAGGGACCGAACCCTTCTTTTCCCCCCACCACCACCTGCTGCTGCTGACGCTGGTGCTGCTGCGGCTGATGCTGCTGGTAAGTGCCGTGAGCAGGGAGCAAAGCAGGACTGGGAGCATCCCCTGCTGCCGCTGCTGCTGCTGCAGCATGCATTGCAGAGGCGCAGGGAGACATGAGGACGTTGGCAGGTGGGGGGAGGTACAGCAGTGGCAGGGGTGGTGCGGAGGGGAGCGACGTGGGGGCACGGAAGGCAGGAGAGACGGCAGGAGGGGTTGTGCCTTGTGCTGTGCTGGCAATAGCAGCAGCGCCAGCAGAAGCAGCAGCAGCAGCAGCGGCGGATGGAGCAACTGGAATGCTGGCAGTATCCCCTGCACCACCAGAAGCAGCAGCGGTGGCGGCAGGTGCAGGACGGTTTGAAGCGGTGCGGAGTGGTGCGGAGGAGACAAAGGCGATGCTCCAGATGGTGCCGAGAGTGATGGTTGGGGGCTGGTTGCTGAGGAGATGAGAGAGGGGAGAGGTGGAGCGCGGTGGTGTGTGATTGTGAGTGTGTGTGGAGCGGGGTGCTGCTGCGGGTATGGTGGCAGGGGAGGCGGGTAGAGAGGAGGAGGAGGCGGACGAGGGGAACACAATGGGCTGCAGGGGAGGGATAATAGGCGGAAGAAGGAGGGTGGGGGGGGGAGGGGGGGTGGTTAAGGACCGAGAAGGCGAGAGCGGGACGAAGAAAGGACATTGGAGGGGAGGGGAGGGGTGGGTGGGGGGGTTGGGGGCACATGATATCAGTTGAAGGGTAAGGCAGGAAATACATGGAGGAGTAACAAGTCGGCAGGATGCAAAGAAAACACCCTCCAAGATGCAACTTCTCACAAAGGGACGGGACCTTGTAACTAAGGGCTACGGGGGCCACAGAGGCAGATAACATGTACCTCGCAATCTCTGCACTGGCCCAGGACGAGACAGGCAATTGGCAATCTCTGCACTGGCCCAGGGCTTTTGAGTCGACTCAAAAGTCATCTCTGCACCTGCTACTACTGCCACAAGTACTGCTCCAGCTACTGCGTGCCTTGCCGTGCCCCTCCCACCTTGGCAATGAGCCTGTCGCATGCGTGCGAGTGCAGCACCGGCAGCACCGCCACTCGCCCTTCCATTGCCGCCACTGCCACCGCCCTGCCTCTGCTCTCACGGCGGGGCAGAGGAGGCGCGGAGGGGGGAAGAGGAAGGGGAAGGGTGGGGAAGGGGGGAAGGGGGGAAGGGGGGAAGAGACATAAAGTGCATGGGGGCGATGATGTGGGGTTGGAATTTTGGGGGGGGATACCTTGGGAAGTTGATACTTGGAGGGTGAGACAGAGACATATAGGACGCGTTGGGGCAGAAAGGTAGACATGCCCTCCGATACAGGGAGGGAGTCCTACGATTATTACATACAATAAAGCTACGCAATTGATAAATAAGTGACCGCAAAAAAACATGTATATACATACATACATATATACATATATATATGGTGTACACACACACACACACACACACACACACACACACACACACACACACACACACACACACACACACACACACACACACACACTAATACAGTAAGCAATCCAGGGCATGGAGGGGCTGTGGCATCTCACAATGGGTGTACTGCCAGCAACCACCCAAGCTCCCGGGGCGCAAAGGACTGCAGCGGCCGCGGCCTATCAGAAAGCGCCACGTGTCGCAGAGCAACGAATCTGGAGAATCAGGTGGGGAAGAACGGTTGCGAATGCAAGTGAAACAAGTCAAATCAAAGTGCATCAGCCAGCTCAGCAATAACAAGTTAACACGTGTTGAGGCCAACACTTGATCAACTTCCGAGGAATGACAGGACAGGACAGGACAGGACAGGACAGGACAGGACAGGACAGGACAGGACAGGACAGGACAGGACAGGACAGGACAGGACAGGACAGGACAGGACAGGACAGGACAGGACAGCTTGCCAGCACGCCTAACCCACAGACAACCCCACACCAGCACACGCCCCCCATGCCGTTCTCCCACCACAGCCTCCAATCCTCACACCCCTCCTCCTCTCACCCCCCGTGCCAGTGGTCCCTCACTCGCCATCTTCCCGCATCCCCCCCCTCAGCACCTGTTGAGGTCAGGATCGAAAGCCAGGATGGAGAGCTTGCCCGAATCCGACAGCACTGCTAGCATGTCCCTCCCCGCGTACTGCAGACGTGGCAGGAAGGGACGGCGGGAGAGGGGGTGCGAGAGCGTGGGGGCGGAATGGGGGGAAACAGAGGAGAAAAGGGGGTGAGAGCGGGGTGGGGTGGGGTGGGGTGGGGTGGGGTGTGGGGGGGGGGAGGGTTGGGGAGAGACAAGGGGGGACGATTGAATCTTGAGGTAATGAAAATTGGGAGAGGGGCGTGGGGGAGAGGGAGGGTGATTGGCAGATCATGAATAGTACGGGCAAGGAAAGGCAGAGAGACACGAGGGGAGGAACAACAGCAGAGTGGTAAGGCCGACAACAGCAGAGATCCTACTTCTCCTGTCCTCCCTCTCCTCTCCCCGCCTCAGAAACAAGCACACAGGAGCAACGACTGACAGTAACGAGCTGACGACCCATTCCCTACCTCCTTGACTCCCTCCCCACCTCCCCACATCCCACCTCCCCGCGTCCCCACCTCCCCAACTCCCACCTCCTCGCCTCCCACCTGCCTGCTTCCAGTAATGGTTCACCTACCTTTACACCCCATCCCTTCCCTTCCCCATGTCCATTCCTTGATCAATTCGAGCTTCTAAGTCCACAATAAATCCTTCCAGTGCCAGTATTTACCTTCGCGCCCGGACTGCTCCCTCCTGCCCCCCCTGCCGCCCCCCCCATCAGCTGCGCCAGCGACCCCCCTCCCCCCGGCGACATTCCCCCCAGCGGGCGCGACGGGGAGAACGCGCGGAACGGCGGAAGGTACGGCGACAGGGACACGGGGAGCGGGAAGGCCGCGAGAGGGGGGGTGGGCGGGGGGGCGGAGGCGGCGCCAGCGCCGGCGGCGGTAGCGGCAGAGTGCGGGGGCTGGTGAGACGGCGGAGGCGGGGGGAGGATGTGCGGGTTGGGCGGGAGGGTCTGCAGCGCGATGATGGTGCCAAACACTGGCTGCTCGCACACTGACGAGAGCGCACCGTCGGGTAAGACCTCGAGCAGCTCTAGACAGGACTCCTGTCGGAGGTGAGGCGCGCGGAATAGGGAGATGGGGAGGGAGAGGGACGGGGTTTGAGAATTCTCAACAACCACCTGCAACGTCAGATACGACCTTTTGAGAACTCTCATAAGTGCAACGTCGGTTGAGATTTTCAGTGTGGGGTGAGACGCGCGTCGGAGGGAAAGGGGGGAGAGGAAGCGGGGGGAAGGGGGAGGTAAGGTGGGGGAAGGGGATGTGGTGATGCTGAGACGAGAGGAGATACCCACGTGGCGGTGATAGGGCTGTGTAACGAAGAGAGCATGGGGAAGGAGGTGTTCGGCTGGGAGGAAAACCCTAAACGCAGCGGAAGCGCGAGAGGGGAGCGGTGGTGGGAGGTGACAGGGAGAGGAGCGTGAGAGACGGTTTCGTTCAAACGACAGAAAGCAACGGCTCGTTTAGACGGTGCACGCCGCTAGAGCCACGATTCAGCGACGGTTTTCTTGCAACGCGCAGAATCGTTGCGCACGCTGCGGTGCGCTGCGCTCCTCCGCACACGACGCCTTCTCGTCTTCCCCACGCACCTTCCCGAAGACGACATCGTACGACGATGCTGCGAGGAACCTTCCCGCGACGGCCTGCAGCACCGCGGTGCTCCGAAGCGCCGTCTTCGCCAAGAAAAGCAGCGGGGGCGGCGGCGGCGGCGGCACGGCCGCGGACGACGGCGGAGGCTCGGGTTCAGGCACGGCCATCGCGAGACTAAGAGACTAAGGGAATAACGTGAGCTAAGAAATCAGAGAATTTAATTATTGGAAAGCTAAGGAGTTGAGACGGTAACGCGCCAGGCAATGGATGGCCGAAGGATTCTGCAACGGTAGGAACCGGTGACCGCAGGGTGCGGCGCTGATGCCGGAGAGCGGGGTAACGAGAAGCACGGGTTGTTACGTGTCACATCGAATCACTTTTGAGTCGATTCAAAAGTCACCGCGTGTCGCGGCGGGTCTGTTCAAGCTGCGATGATCGCACGAGGAGCGGCTGGAAACGCAATCAGAATCGAGCAGAAACGAGTCTCACGAGTCCCACGAGTCCCGTGGAAACAAACAAAGGAGCCGAAGCCCGAGACATGCCTCCTGTCTCGCTTGAGGCTCAACCGTGGTGGGAGACTTGCAGGGAGAACACTTTCGGCATGATACAAATTTGTGATCATTCTAGCATACCTTTCCGTTTCTTTGACAAATTTCTTTGTACTGTATGCCAAATGATATTGAAACCTTTTCATGCATCTGCCATGCCATGTGTGGTTTCTAAAAGGAATCCACATGAATACGAACACTCAGCTTCCCCATCAGCATGGTCTTGGCATGCTAATTCTATGATCTTCATATTACCAATTCGGTCAGTTGTCAGTACACAATACACTTCTAGTCTAAAACAAGCCAACTACCCATTATTACACATCAACAATTTTTACCCCACTGAAGGCCATTGTGTAGAAATCGCCTGTTTCCTCCACTCACGTTCCCCCACACTTCCTCCGCCCCATCTCCTCCACCACTCTCAATCTACTCCTTTCTCCAGGGCCCACTGCCGCTACTGCCTGTCCCCCACCCCGATCCCCTCCCATCCTCGCTCTCTTGCTTGCTCGTCTCACCTCCGCCTCCTCCGCCACCTCAGCAGCTGACTTGGCTGCCTCGTCAGCATCATCCTCCTCCTCATTCCCCACACCCTCCTCCCACGCCACGTCATACCGCTCCCCCCGCTTTTCACACAGATTATGCAGCACGCAGCATGCACCCACAATCTCCGGCAGTTCTTCCACTTTAGTTTCCGCGCGCTTACTTAAAAGCTTCCATCTGCTTCGCAGCCGGCGCACTGCGTTGCGCGCCACTGCCACTGCCCTTTCAACGCCTTGGTTATATTGTAGCTGGTCGCCAGGCAACATACTCTCCCTCCCCAGCCTCTCCAATATAGTCAGTCGTTTACCACTGCTGCCAGCACCACCACTGCCACCACTGCCACCAGCGCCACTACTGCCAGCGTTACCACCCTTGCCAGCATTATAATTCCCCTCAACATCCCCTTCCACTGCCATACTTCTCCCCAATCCCCCACTCCCACCCTCCCCATTCAGTGCAGCAGCACCCACTCTCTCCATCTCCACCCTCCTCTCCCTCTCGCCCGCCCACCAGCTCCTACTCTCCTCACGAATTACCCTTCTTGCATGCAGAGGCGGCCGGCCCCGTTTCCTCGGCCGTGTCTCTCCCACTCGCCCGCGCCCCGCATCATCTCGCATGCCATCTAGTGCCCTCTGTAGCTGCTCCATGCTGTCGGGTATGGGAATGCTGCCCTTGCGCCGCACGAGCAACTCGGTAGGTAGATCCGCTAGGTTTACAGACGAATGCGGTGCTGCTGCTGCCTCGCCAGCGAGAGCAGCTGTGCTTTGGTTGCGTGCAGCTGCCACGGCAGTTTGGCTCAAAGCATTTTCGGAAAAGTTTCGGCTCCTGGCATTGCCTGCAGCTGCGGCTGCTGCTGCTGCGGCAGCGGCAGCTGCAGCAGCAGCTGAGACCCCTCGTCCTCGCCCACGCCCTCGCCCTCTCCCCCCTGGCCCGCCTGAAGCACTCGCGATGGCTGCTGCAGCGGCGGCAGCAGCTGCCGATGGGGAGGATATCAGCGCTATTGCTGCCGCAGTCGCTGACGCTGCTGCTGCTGCTGCTGCTGCATCTTCTGTGCCGGCCGACCGTGGCAGGTGCGACGCAAGTAAAGCCGTATTAGCAGCAGCTAGAGCAGCAGCTGGCGAGGTGGGAGGGGGGAATAGAGGAGCGGAGGGTGTGCGAGTGTGGGCAATGCTGGAGAGGCCTCGATCTGGGAAGGGAGTGAGCAGCCATCGCAGCAAAGGAAAAGAGTGCCAGCCGACAAGAAAGAACCCCGGAGGCACTGTCCCCTCCCCACCGCTGCTGCTCTTCCCCTCCGCCTCCCCCCTCCTCCTCCCCTTCGCCTCCTCGTCCCCCGCGAATCCCCCCTGCCTCTGCCTCTCCTCCTCCTTGCTCACCCTCTGGTACAGCTGGGACTGCAGCAACACGTCACTGTCAGTCAGCGACCCAGGCCCAGCGGACACATCCAAAATCAGCCCATCTGTCCCCACAGCCACTTGCACCGCCACGGAATAAACCATCTTCTGCCGCCGCGCCGACAGCCGCCGATTCTCATACTCCCGCATGCTCTCGCCCGTGCGAGGCGTGTTCATGGCGATCTGGGTCGTGTGCAGCGCCGCCACACACCCCCCCACGAGCCCACACACCTCCTCAAACTTCCCTGCTGCGGCTGCACGCTCAGCAGGGGACGACGGCATGTGGATATGCGTCCTGAGGAGGGCTTGGCAGATGGTGGCGCAGGTCTCATGGTGGATTCTCGAGCACATAGCGCCGCTCAGCCCGAACCTTCTCGAGACCAAGTACAGCGGCTCGGCGGAGGCCAGGCGCCACAGGCACACAGCGAGGCGCATTCGGAGGGGGATCTTGGGCGCGGTGGAGGGGAGACGGACGCCTTCTATGGGGAGCAGGCAGGAGAATAGGTGGTCGAATGTGGTGGGGGACATGCGGAAGTGGTGGTGGAAGCGATGCGGCGGGTATGCGGGGTCGAAGCACTCATCGTACCAGAGCCGTGGGTCGGGGGCAGGTGGCGGGAAGGAGGGCGCGCGGGGCTTGCGCGAGGGGGGAGGGTCGGGGGAAGGGGAGAGGAGAGGGGAGCGAGGCGAGGAGGGTGGTAGAGGGGAGTGGCGAAATGGGGAGCTTGGAGAGAAGTGCGCCTGGGGAGGGGAGGAGGGCGCAGGGGAGGAGGGACGGTGGGAGGGTGGGGGAAACAGCAGGTTAGAACCAAGGATACGAAGGGTCCGACGGATAAAAAGGATACAAGGAATAAGGACGGGTGGAAAGCAAGCACCAACTCGCAAGCTTCTGTTGCTGCTGTTGCTGCTGAGCTGCAGCATAGGCACGTACCTGCTGACTGTTGCTCTTAAAAGCGACCCTCGGTGTGCGTCCGAGCGTGCCCCCGCGACTCACGGGCTGCTGCGCTGCAGCAGGCGACAAGGTGAACGAGGCGAATGAAATCCTGGATCCCTGTTGCGTGTGAGACCGTGCATGGCGGGGAGGGGAGAGACGAGGTCGTGAGGGGGATTGGAAGCGCGAGCAGGGAGGCGAGGCGGGAGTGCAAATTCGAACAGAGCCGAGAAGAGCCAAAACGGCGAACGTGAGCAGGCCTTACAACAGCCAACTATTGTCCTTGCTCTCTCTCTCTCTCCTCACTTGTCTCCTACAGCCCGTATCGCCCATCGCTCAACGCCAAACGGCAAACGGCAAACGCCTGACGCACGACGCTCTACCCACCTCGCCATAAGCCGCTGCGCCGCTCGCGACGGCTCGCGCGGCCATTCGCGCGCGCCGAATGTGCTGCTCCTCGTCCTCCTGCGCGCGCTCGTAGCTCCGCGCCTCCCACTCCATCGCCTCCCTCACCGCGCGCTTCCGCCGCTCGTGCTCGTTCCGCCACTCCCATTGCGCCACGCGCAACCGCTCCCGCCATCGCCGGTACTGCTCGCGGTCTAGCGCGTCTTGCGCCAGCAGCGACAGCAGCAGGTGCGCTTCCTTCGGGAGCGTGGCGGTGGGGACGGGGAAGGGGAAGGACGGCGATTGTAACGCGGCTATAGCTGCTTCGGCTGACGACGCGAGTTCTGCAGAGTCTGTAGAGGGCGGAATGTCTTGGATTGGATAAAGCTTGTTCAGTAACGAATCGTCCACTATCGGGTCATCCTCGGGAAAATCATCGCTCGCAAAAGAATCATCGGCAAGGGCACCGTCCTCTATAGGAACATCCGTTACAGGGTCACCGGTTACAGGCCCATCAAATAACCCCAGCTTGGAAATATCCGAAATTATTTCAACACCGTCAGCAATGGCATCGTCCAGTAGCGGAGCATTATCGACGAGGTCAGTGGTAAGCACGGCATCCGTTACTGGACCATCCGTTACAAGCTCGGTTTCCGTTTGTTGCCTGCGACCATCTTCTTCCAATTCGATTTTCAATGCAGCATCCTCCGGCCCCTCCCTTTCTCGTGCCGCTGCTCCCGCTTCACACGATTCTGCAGCCGATCCCTTGACTTCGCCAAACTCCTCGCCATCGTTCCCTGTCACCCGCTCTTCGCGTTTCGCCTCCTCCGCCGTTTGTCCCGACCCATGGTCGCCCCAATTTCTCTGCGATTCCTCACCGAGTTCCGCTCCGCCCTTCGTCTCGTCTCGCCGATCGTTAACCCCGCATTGACTCGCCGCGCCGTCGTCGTTTTCTGCTTTCTGACTGCGCGCATCGCCCTCCGGCGCGCGGTCAACGTTCGCATCCCCACCGGCTGCGCCGCCCGCGGAAGCTGCAGCTGCGGCTGCGGGGCTCGAGGGAACTTCACCGTCGTTGGCGTCTTCCGCGGAAGACGGTCCATTCTGCGAAGTGGCAGTTGCGCGTTCCGGCTCACCTAATGCCCTCTCTCCAATCGCGGGCTCCGCGAGACGCGCGACGCCCACCTCGGTAACACTATCGAAATCGTCGAACGCGTCAGTGACAGGTGCTGATGGGGAGGAGGGCTCTAAATTGCCCAATTCAGTTTCGAATTGGGAAGTACGAGGTTGACAAGCGAAAGAAGCAGCAATGTCTGAGGTGTCTGCTGCAGCACTGGTGCTGGGATTAGCCGTACCATCTTTCTCAGAATCACGACTCTTGGGTGCGGGCGGGCTTGCAGATGCCATTACAGTCCTAATTACTGAGGGGAGGTAGGGGGCAGAGGTGGGGATAAATCACGGAGAAGGGGTTGGAGAAGAAAGGGTGTGAAGAATGGGGGGTCCTGACGGCGGGGAGAATTAGTGGGGCGAACGAGACCACTCCCAATGAAACCCCACCCGACGAAACGAAACCCCAGAAATCCCAACTCCCCAGTCCTGGGTCCCGAGACCCGACACCTGACAAACAAAAGCGGGGGTGTTCCGATTCCAGACGAGCAGGACCCAGTGAAGGATGTGAGCAAATCGGACGTTCGAATGTTTGAATTTTTGCAAACGAGAGTTTTGGGTTGGAGTTTTGTGGTTTTTCTCGCTCCCCGAAGAAAAACTCTTCCCACCGCCCATTCTTATCTGAAATGAGCTTCGAAACACGGGAGCGGAATGCACCTGATAACCCGCGAAATGGCATATTTGCAGGACCTCGACAGTGTGCCACTGTAATGCCACAACAGAGGTAACCCTCGGGTTATTGCGTGCAAGAATCCAACCGCCCTATACACGAGTTTTAACCTGTTTCGATGTTTGTGAGTGCCTTCTCCCTGGACGCCATGCAATTATGTTCCAAATTATGTGCGCCATGAAATTAGGGTGATGCGCTGTTACGAGTGCAATTGAGCGAGCGAGCGATAATTACACTATCGAAGCAACAATACAAAGAGCGAAGGCATACGCGAAGAATATATAGCGAACTAGAGTGGTAACGGTAACGCGAGGAATTGGGGTGCGCTACAGGCCTAGCACCGAGGTTGGGATATGTCGAGGCGGAGGTCCGGAGCGCGGGTTACCAACCGAACCGTGAGGTTGGGTCGTGTCGTGAACAGTGGCGGAAGTCGTAGTCGAGGCGAGTGTCGCGAGCGGGTAACGTTTCACTGTTTGGGTGCCGATGGCGGGAATGGTCTTGTAGGACTCGAAGTAAGGAAAATGAATTTTCCTTACACTACCCCCCTCCCCAAGGAGGCCCCCCTTACAAGAGTGCATGTACATCTCGAAAATTTCGACTGCGCAGATACTCAGTGAGGACTGGGTGATTCTCAATTCTACTAAGGGGAACCCAATTGTCTTCGGTGGGCGTGCGGACTTTCCAGCGGAGCAGGAATTCGATCCTGCGGGCTCCCCGTGGGTCACGTACTCGGTGGCTCAGTATTTTTTCGGGCGTGATGATTGGTTCTGTCGGCGGTCGTGTCATGCTGGCGGGGCAGTTGCGAGGCAGTTGGCTGGTGGATGGTACGTATGGGCGAAGCAGGCTGGGGAGAAGAATGACGGGCTGACGTACAAGTCAGCAGGGAGGAGGAGGTGGGCGGTGACGGGTGTGATCATGTGGCTGATGCGAAATGGCCCGCAATATCGGGGGCGGAGTTTTGGGGTGATGGGCAGGCGGAGGTTTGAGTATCGAGTAGCACGATGTCGTCGGGTTGGTAAGTGACGGGTCGGCGGTGGCGGTCGGCGTTACGCTTAGCGATGATGTTTGGTTTTTTTATTGCGTCTGCTGCTCGGGTCTGTGCTGCTTGTAAAATTTCTGCGAACTGTTGCGCGCGTGGCACTGGGTTGTCGGGATTCGGAGTCATGGGTACTGTGGGGTCTTGTCCGTAGTTCAGGTAAAACGGTGACCGTTGGGTCGTGGCGGATGGCGAGTTGTTGTACGCGAACTCGATGAGTGGCAATTGCTGTTCCCAGGTGGTCCAGTCGTCGCACGTGGCTCGGATGAGTTGCTCCATGGTCTGGTTTGTCCGTTCTATCTTTCCGTCGGTCTCGGGGTGGTATGAAGAACTGAACTGTAGTCGCGTGACGAACTGCTGCCACAGGTTCCGCCAGAAGTTGCTGGTGAACTTCGTATCGCGGTCGCTGATGATCGATGCTGGTATCCCGTGTAGTCGAACGATGGTGGAGATGAAGCGGCGGGCTGTTTCTTCGGCTGTGATTGTTTTTTTGCAGGCTGCGAAATGTGCCATTTTCGTCAGCCGATCGACGACGATCAGGGTCTCGTCGTTCCCACTTGCTCCAACCGGTAAGCCTGTGACGAAGTCCATCGTCACCTGCTGCCAAGCACGCTCTGGGGGTGGTATCAGCTGCAACTGCCCTGCCAGTCGTTTCCGTGATGACTTCATGAGTTGGCATGTGGGACATGATGCCATGTGTCGTTGCACGTCGGTCAGCATTTCGGGCCAGTAGTAATACCGCTGCAACTGCTGCCGTGTTTTCTCTACTCCGAAATGTCCTTAGGTAACCCCATCGTGTGCCTCCTGAAGTAATAGCTCCCTTAGTAAGGTGTAGCCTGGTACCCAGATGCGGTCGGTGCCCGCTTTTACGTAATAAACCCCCTTTGGTGCTGCGAACTGCTGCGAATTTCCACCTGTGAAGAACGGTTCGGTTTGATAGCCGTGGGTAAATAGTCCTGTTAGTAGCGGGCTGGTCTGGGCGAGTAGTATGGCGTGGATTTGGGCAGTGGGGCGGGTTAGTGCGTCGGCAATGTTCGATGCTCCTTTTTTGTAGGTGACCGTGTAGTGGAAATTTTGTTAGAATGTGAGCGAATGAATGAAACAGAGAAGAGGGGTTTCACTAGCAAGCAGTTGAGTACATATAGTAAACCCTAGATTGGGCTGTACTCACTATTGAGTACCCCACTGCAGGCTAGACAAACATAACATTCTGACACACCCCCATAGCCAAAGTGGGGTGTAATAAGCACAACAAGCAAAGCAAAACAAGCTCAGGGTGGATCACAACGTCACCACACATTCTGAGCACAAGTACAAGAAGCAGCAGTTTTTAGTTCACAGTAATAAGTAAAGCTAGAGGCTATCACAGAGGGCAAGTGAGGAGGAGGCTGGATTGATAGGAAAGGAGATACGAGGCAACGGCTGAAGCTGCAGACACACGGGCAACAGGAGCGGCGCGCACTGTGGCTACCGGAGGCGCACCTCCGGACTACAGGAGTAACTGGCTCCGCGGCTAAGACGAGCGGCAGGAGCAACAGACCCACGAGCGACTGGCGCAGCAGGCTCGCTGGGCTACCGGAGGCGCACCTCCGGACTACTGGCGCTGCTGATGACACGACGGCTACCTCCCTTCAACCTCCCCCATTGTCGCACCCCCCTTTCACACACCCCCTGCTGCACCTCTAGCACTACTCACACTCCACCCCCTAGCACCACTCCGTCGGCTCCCACACACCCACCCCCCTCAGCGGTAGCTGCAGCAGTGGGAGACGGAGGAGGAGGAGGAGCAGGGGAGGCCGCACACACCCGCCAACCCATTCTCGCCACCCCCAAACCCTAACACAGGGCAGGGCCGTAGCTGGCGGGTAGGGAGGTTAGGGGGGCAGGACTGCGACAGGGCCGGGGCAGGACAGGGCCGGGAAAGGGCGGCTGCAGGGCAGGGCCGCGACGAAGGACGAAAGGGGCCAACGCGCGGCCCCCCGGGCGCCTCAACGGGCGACGGGGGGGGGGGGGGGGGGGGGGGTGAAGCGCGGCCCCCCTGGGCGCCGCGACTGGCGACGGGAAGGGGCCGCGCGCGGCCCCCCGAGGGCACCACGTCGGGCGACGGAAGGGGGGGCCGCGCGGGCCCCCGATGGCGTCACGGCGGGCGACAGGAGGGCCGCGCCCGAGCCCCCCCGGGGTGCCGCGACGGGCTACGGGATGGGGGGGGGGGCGACGCGCGGGCCCACAGGGCTCCGCGACGGGCGACGGGCAGGGCAGCTCGCGGGCCGCCAGGGCGCCGCGTGAGAAGGCAAACCGCCGCGCGCCTCGGGGCGCACGGCGGGCAGAAAACCGCCGCGCGCCTCGGGGCGCACGGCGGGCAGAAAACCGCCACGCGCTCGGAGCGCGTGGCGGGAAGAAAAAACGTCGCGCGACACGGGGCGCGCGACAGACAGGTCAGCAGCGGAAGCATTAGGTGGGCCCATCCACAGGGGGGGTCGACTTGCTCTGATTCCATGTTAGAATGTGAGCGAATGAATGAAACAGAGAAGAGGGGTTTCACTAGCAAGTAGTTGAGTACATATAGTAAACCCTAGATTGGGCTGTACTCACTATTGAGTACCCCACTGCAGGCTAGACAAACATAACATTCTGACAAATTTGACTCGAGAAAATCGAGCCAGCGGATCTGCCGTGGGTTGAGGTGGGGTTGTGCGTATAGTTACTGTAGTGATTTGTGGTCTGTCTGTACTGTCACGTCTGCGCCAGACAAGTAACAGTGCCACACTTTGAACGCATGAACGATCGCGAGCATTTCGCGGTCGTGTATTGGGTAATTCTTCTTGGGCGGATGCATTTTTCGTGACTCGTATGTGATGGGCTGTAAACCGTTGCCGAAATCATGTAGCAGTACGGCTCCAGTGGCGATGTCGCTTGCGTCTGTAACCACTTCGAATGGGCGGTGTGGGTCGGCGATGCGCAGTACGGACGGTGATCAGAGAACATTTTTCAGGGCAGAGAAGGCAGCATGCTCTTTCTCCCCCCACGTAAAAGCGACCCCCTTCCACAGTAAATCTGTCGGCAAGGCAGTTAAGCGTGCCATGTCGGGGACGAACCGACGCACATAATTAACGAACCCTAAAAAACTCTGCAGCTCCGTGATGTTCGTCGGGGGGTTCCACGCTTTCACCGTGTCCAGCTTCTTTGGGTCGATCTCAACTCCAGCCTCCGAAATAACGTGCCCCAAAAATTCTAGCCTATCGAGGAAGAACTCGCACTTGGAACCCTTGGTCAGTACTCTGTGCTCATCTAAAACTTTAAACACTGCTTCCAGATCTGCTAAGTGCTGTTGCTTATCACGACTGTAGACTAGGATGTCGTCGAGGTAAATTATCACGCATTTATCTAAGAGCGGCCCTCGTTCATGGTCATATGAAATGACGCCGGTGCGTTGGTCAGCCAGAATGGCATCACAGTGTACTCGAATGACCCGTACCTAGTTCTAAATGTCGTCTTGGCGCAGTCCAATGGTTTGACCCGAATCTGGTGTTAACC